TGTGATATATATTTTACACTGGTCTATGTTAGGAATACTACAGATCACTATAGTAAGCATTGCTAGGAGTACTACTATGCACCTCGAGCTAAATCATAGTCTGTATTTTGGATTTCCAAGAGAGATCACAGTTTTACTTTCTTTTATGTTCAAGGTTTGCAGGGGACCAACAGTACATTACTGAACCTCAGTAATGCTTTCCACTTGGCTTTAATACAGCATTTAAAAAATAGAACAGACAGTATGGCAGCAAGTGAAAATACTACTATATCCTTCTAGTAACTATGTATTGTAGTATATGACAGTAGGAGACATTGTATATTACAGTCACGAAGCATGGTATTTGTACAATCACTTTATGAAGGCTTTTTCATAAAGGGCTTTGATTTAAAATCATTGATTTTATATATATATATCATTTTTATGTTTGACATAATAAGGCATCATGAACTGCATTAAAAACAGAACATGCTCCTCTTCAAAAAGCAACATATTTGGCTTTTTTTCACTTTTTGAAAAAGCATTGTACAAAGAACAGTATCTACAAGTAAAAAGAGAAACAAGACAGTTAAGATAACAACCATCATGTCTCCTCCACTCAGTCTGAATACAGTGCAAAAGGTGGTGGGAGTTTACCGTCTGGAGTTTATACCCCCTCTTAATGTAGTCTGCAGAAATGATGAACAAACAGCAGTGCTCTTATCTGCGGCTGATTACAGGCAGCCTCTCCAGAACCCTCCGAAGAGAATCCTTTAATGTTTTGTGTTCATGAGCTGCTTAACTTATTGTGTCTACATCATCCACCTGGACTGGGACAATACCTGCATCTGATCTGGCCTGGTTATGTCAAATGGCCATGCCACATACAGCACAAGGCCAGATAATTGCAAGTTTGGTAATCTATTCTGCAGACCCACATCACATTTGTAGTTCCATCTGCATGTGCCTCTTGCCATGTTGGAGATTCTAGAACATAAGAACATGAGAAAGGTTCCAAACGAGAGGACATTATTCTCATCTAGCCTGTAGTGGTAGCTAATTGATCCAAGGATCTCATCCAACTGTTTCCTGAAGGAAGCAAAAGTATCGGCCTCAACTGCATGGCTAGATAGCTCGTTCAATATCCCCACAGTCCTTTGTGTAAAGAAATGCCTCTTCTTCTCAGTTTTGAATGCACTTCCAGATAGTTTCCACATGTGCCCAGTCATTTGTGTTTCACTGTTCCTCTTTAAGAAGTCCTCGGTTCATTTTGTCTCCAGCCTATTTGCAGTCTTCTCTGTTCAAGACTAAAGAGGCTCTTTCAGCATGTCACTGTAGGACCTTTCCTTAAGTCCCAGAATGCAGCAGGCAGCCCCTCTCTACCTCTATGTTTTCTAATGACTTCTGTGTTACGGCCTTCCTCCATGTGATGCCAGGTCTCCTTCAGATCTCTCTCCAACATCAGAATCAGCTTGAAAGAGGAGTGTTATGCAAGCGAGCACACCTCTTTTAAGATGATCCTGACACTACTCTCTGTAGTGTTTTTGATTTTTTAACTCATATATACAAGTAAGTTAACATCAAGTTTTCAAAGCAATGTATTGTGTGGAAAGTACCTCCAGATCAACATTGCAAAGAAGGCTAAAAGCCTCAAACTAAAGCACAAACCAGGCTGCAGCTCTTTTCTTTATTCAGCCCTGCTAAGGGAAGACTGGAGAATTACATTAAATAGGCCATCTGAAATATGTGTTAACTATTAATTTGTGATATTTGAAATGCTATGTATTGAAAGTTCACTGAGATGTTTCATTTATCATGGCCTTTAGTTTTTGAGCAAACTTTAAACAACCGGAAGATCAATTAATCAGTCAAACAGTAAATCAACCAATAAGTCAATCAATTAAATAGTAAATCAACAATCAGGCAATCAATTACAACACAATCAATTCGATGTTAAGTCCCAAATAATCTTGTTAAGTTAAATGCCTTACTGTATCTCAGTGAACAAAAGGGGACAGTCAAAGAACAATAGAAAAGTTACAAGCTACAGTAATTAGGAAGTATAAATGATATAATCAGCCAGATGCAAAAAATTGTTACATAAACCACACAAACCCTTTATGATAGACTAAATTCAATATACTTCAAAGTATATGTATTTCCCAGGAGACGTTCAGATTCACAAGGTTAAAATAATCTGTTTAATCACAAAGGATCTCATTCAATCCCCTTATGGCTTTTCTATTTTATTTTCATTAGAGCTGCCGGTTTGAATTTATTTTGAGTGTAAGCAGGCCTGGTCTCAGTGGCATGACAGATATTGTTGATGACTCCTAGCTGTTGTGTTCGACTCACAGTACAGAGGTCTGTGTGGAGTTTGCATGTTCTCTCTTGGTTCATATGTGCTTTTGCTGGCTGCACTGAATTCCATCTACATAAATTGGTTTCTTCTCAATTATAATTAATACTTGCTACAGAAAGAAAATCACATATCTTTTTCGCATTCAATTTGATAATGAAAATGCTGCTGTTACTCTTTTGCAAGATTAACTTCTTTCTCCTTTGCAAACACGTCTAGATCTCAAAATGTGTGGGATTCTGCCCACCCCAACCATTCAGAACAAATAACCACATTCTTAAGTCGATTAGCAAAACAACACAGGAGGCAATAACTTTTCTTATAGTGTCAGTAATATTCTTGTGCTGAATGGGAGCAGAACAGAGGAAATATTTTCTGTTAAGAACTACATTTTGTAAACCCTCTCATGTGAGTAAATCTGACAAGTATTTTTAGGCACATCTGTGACCTGATCTCCCAAAACTAGGCTCTTTGGAGTTAATTATTAAGCTTAACATCCTAGCAAGACTTATTTTTGCAAAATATGACTGTGAAGTAGGCCATGACTTCCAAACTAATGAAAATGTGGACTGGCTCTGGCATCTGTAAATTGCTCTTTCTCCAAATTGATGCTTAACCTCTAGAAACTTAGTCACTGGAGATCAAGCCCTTGATATTAATTCTGTTAAACATTGTGAATTACCAGGGAGGTCTGAACCTTTGCTGCCCCAGAAAAAAAAACTAGCTCTGTATTCCATGTCAGTTCTGTATTCCATGTCAAGTGTCCTTTGATCTAAAGTGAACAAGTGGATATCACCCTGGAACTCACAACTGGCAGCCCACCGAAGCTCTGACTAGCAGGTGTGAGCCTGGTCAGTATCTGGATGGGAGACCAGCTGGGGAAACTAAGGTTGCTGCTGAAAGAACTGCTATTGGGACTAGTAGGGAGCACTCACCCTGCTGTTTGTGTGGGTCATAATGCTCCAGCATTGTGATGGGGACCCTATGCTGTGAAAAAGGTGCTGTTTTTTGGATGAGAAGTAAAACTGAGATTCTGAACCTCTGTGGTTATTAAAATTCCCAGGGCGTTTCTCAAAAACAGTAGGGGTGTTATTCCGGCGTCTTGACCAAATTTCCTCCTGGCCTTTACCAATCATGGCCTCCTAATAATCGTCATAAATTGGCTTCATTGCTGTGTTCTCCCACTAATACTGTGGCACACTGTGGCTGCTGTCAGATCATCCAGGTTGATGCTGCACATTGGTGGTGGTGGAGGGGAGTCCCCATTAACTGTAAAGCACTTTGAGTGGAGTATCCAGAAAAGAACTAGATAAGTGTGGGGATTATTATTCTGCCACTTGTTGACCTATTGCCTTGGTGCAATGATTTCTGTTTTTTATTATGAATTATAGTGATCAACACTTTTGTGTGCTGTAGGGTTGTGTCTCTTACCACTTTAAACAGGGGACCATGTACAATGCTGTGCTTTGAAAGTACAAGACCTCAACAAGAACAGATCAAGAAGTCCTGACTTGTGGCACTTTGCTGGGAATTTCTGTTAAAGCTTAAGTATCGCTGTGTTACTGGAGTTTCACATCCAGGGAGGCCAGTGGATGGAACTGGCAACCTGAGCTCTTGTAACGTAATAATCCACATCTTGCTTTCAAAGTTTTAACATGAACCCTGTACATTTTCAAGATTCTTAAAGAGCTTAAAAGGAAAAGTTGCCGATCTGGCCAGTTTTGTATCAGTGGTGAGGTTATCTGAGGATCTCATCCAATCGATTTGTGAAAAAAGCAAAGGTATCAGCTTTGACAACATAGCTTAACATAGGATTGTTTCATACTCCCACAACCTTTTGCGTGCCTGCTGGTTTTAACTGCGTTTCCACACACTTTCCACGTTGTGCCCTCTGCTTCGTTTTCCGCTGGTTATTCCGAATTAGTCCACTGGGTTCACTGAAGATAATGGTGAAAATCTTTAAAAGGGGGTATAGTAAAAATAGGCTGGGTAATCTAGCAGGGTTTTAGGTAGTTTTTTCTTTCCCAGAAAAGAATCTTGGAGAAGCGCATTGATTCACTGTAGCTCCCAAACCGTGTCATGCTCTGTCCTTCAGAACTCATGTGAACGATCTGCGGCAATCAACGCACGCATCTCACTCTGCTATTGTCACTTCACATACAGGGGAGAAAAAAACAACAACCGATAGGTAACAAAAGGCAATCAGATACGTGCCGGAAACTATCGATACAACTACGGTATAAAGAGGAAAACCAGACTGAACGGTTTAAACTAAAAATGATAGATAACTCCCGACACCAGTGTTAAGAGTTGAGAAGTTGTCTGAGCATTCGATTTGACTTTATTTACCTCAGGGAACAACTGCCGCTTTGTTATAAACGGCAGCATTATTGTTACTGGGGACAGTGAAGGGTATATGAAATAGATCCGGATACAAGCCGCAGTCGGGGACTCGTTAGTTATGTAGCCTGAAAAGCTGTGATGAAATATAAATGTGTAGAGTGGCGCTGCGGGCAAGCGGGGCTCATTAGAAAACGGTCTAAAAATACTGAAAGAATAAACCCAGTGTGTGTGTGTGAGCGGTATTTCTTCGGGGTTGGGAGGTGGTGTCATTGTAGTTGTCTCCGAAGCTCTGGGCTCTCCGCCATTCTTTTTTCGAGGACTATGAGCCCTGGATAATGAATTGATTACTGGTGTGAAACGAGAGTTCGTTTTTTTTTTAACTCTCATTTTCCTCACTTTGGACTGGACAGTGTCCTCGCCCGGGTCTGCGCTCCACTGCCCTTGTAAACTACAGTTTTAAAGGTGAACCTGCCGCCTTCATTCTGCCGACACCCAGGTTTTTCATTTTCTTTCCCGTCGTCAAGCCTTTGCCGATAAGCGGCGTCGAGAAGGGACCCCCCGGGAGACACGGTGTGCGCGAGCTGATAAACCTATCTTCCTCGCGCAAGCGAGACTTTGGACCCGTCATCCAAGCCCATTTCCAAGACAAGCGAAGGAGGTGCATGATGTCAAGCACGATCGCAGCCCGTTTCGTCGGTCCCAGAACTCCAGCTGATTAGGGAGGGGTGGTTTGTTGACGAAAGCAAGGAACTCCTAGGCTGTCGTTTCCAGTTTTTGAACAGTCTCCAGGCTCACCCACAAGAGACAGCAGAGACTCGGGCTCCTGTCACAGAGCTGAAAACATGGGAAGCATCTCTCGAGAAGGCACGGGAACTACAACAGACCCGAACCGGGGATGGCAGGAAGCCCAGCAGCACTTCAGATTACTAATGGAGCCGAACCACGTAGACTATCGCTCTCTAAAAAGAGACTACCACCACAGGTGAGACAGGGGCGCTTGTTTTACACAAATGTATAATTACACGAAAAATTGCGTTAGCGCCAGTATATTCGAATGCATTGATGCTGCTGTACACAGTGCGGCTCGTTTACAGCTTGAATGCGCTGTACCTGTTGATACCGTGTCAGATCTGAGTACCTGCAATATTGTAATACACACATCTTTTCCAAACTGAGCCAAATTATGTGGAAAACTTTAGGTAGTTTTCGTAAGGGCTGTATGCCGTATGCACATCCTACCGCAAATTTACAACCGAGTCAGGAATGCAGCAGGTTTTTAAATATCTATTTAATCCCCAGCATTTTAAGGCTTGGGAGCAGGAATGAACTGGCAAAACTAGTGGGATCGATTTTCCAGTTGCACCAGGTGAAGAGCTGTTTTTAACTTAAGGAGACATAGGAAAATACACCTATACTTTGGAAGAGTCATGCAAGTAGAAAATGACAACAGTTACCTATAAAATCTATCAAGAATCTCGATTTATTTTTTTAAGGAAG